CTTCGGCATCCAGCTCTCCTTGTATGCTGAAAAAAACCACCAACAACACAAAAAGAAACCCAAGCCATCATTAGCCATTTATCCCAGGATACAGGTAACATCTATAGCCAAAATGAACCTTGGAGGATAGTGCAAAGATGAAATTTATTTTTCAAATAGACTTTATGGGAAATACTGTTCTGTGATACTAAAATGAGCATGTGAGAAATGTTGAGATGTGTTGAGAAAAAAGAGTAAAGTTTATTTTTTGAGAGACGCTTCTAAAAGTAATGCTTCTATGAATTTACACTGCTGAACACATACAGACATTGCCCTACTATAACAGCATAGTTCAAAGCAGGCTGTACTAGAGGATCTCTTGACTTTCTCAGAACTGTCTAATGCCTCCAAGGCTGTAACACACAGGAATTCCTGCCTTGACACCACCTATTAACTGGTAATGGATTTTAATGAATTCAGAACAATGCAGTAAAAAGACCTATAGCTCAAGTCTCCCTTTAATTCTTTGTTTATAATACTGTGTTCTGCTTTGGTGTGATGCAGAAAACATCAGATCTGAATTAAATTAGACCATATTTTGCAAACTAATGCCTTTTCACTCCATCACTGAATGTCAGAATAAGAATTATTTAAATTCCATTTTTAAATACAATGGAACTATGCTGTCAGTTTTTACTTCAGTGTTATTTCAATCAATCTTTTATCTGTCATTTGTGTTGCACCACAAAATGCTTTTGACAAAACCTCCCTGGCACCTTCATGGCTTCTGAGGCTATATTCCTCTTTCTAAGATGTGCTGCTCCCATCTCCAAGGCAGGAAGAAAAGTGCTGACAATTCTGAAGTTATATGCATTTGTGGCAATTAGGCCAAATGGTCACTGAGAATGTGTTAGTGTATATATCTCCTGTGTTTTTACACCATTAACAATATTTACTGTATAAATGAAATTTATACAGTAAATACCACTGAAATTCTGTAGCTGCACAATGGGTCACATCAGCTTGTTGTTCCAAAAGAACAAATATGACAAGTAAAAAGCTTTTAGCTTGACTAGCAAGCAGATCTGACTCACTGAGGCCTTGTGATTCCCAGCACTAAGGAAGGAGAAGAGTGGGCAGCGCAGTTTTCTGTGGCCGTGCAAACTGAAGTCATGAAACTCCGTCCTGTGTCAGTAATTCTGTGCTGCACAGTGCCATTCAGAATTTTACAAGCTTCTCTTTTCGTTTTTCCACAGACATCACACTCCTTTACTAGTTACATTTGAGTTGTACTTTCAAGCTTTACTGTGTGACAGACTCTAAACACAAAAACCAGACTCAGGAAAATAACTGAGCAGCCTATTTTTGTTTCCATTTACTACTGTACACTGTCCAGCACTCAAATTCATCTGACTGTGGAAAACAAGGGCTTATTCTATGGTGAGGATCCAAGAGCAAGATCCTCCCTGCGCCTGTAAGACAGAAGTAAGATGCCCTACACTTTTTAAACAAAACTCACAATTTCAATGGCATTTAAAATCTGTCCTCCAGTCAGTACAAATGTTGTGTAGAGGGATTTATTTCACAACTGAGTGTGAAAAGATGTATAATTATAGAAGTACAAAAAGTAAAGAATCATTTAGTGAAATAATCCATTGTACAGAGCACTTGTTTGTAGCATGGTTCTCAAATTAACAGATATGCATTATTTAAAGTGCCACCAGAATGAGAATAAATAATGATTTGGCTACAGCTTGGTATGAGAGGAATGAAGGATTAAAGTCAAGGACTTAGTTGGGACAATATTATCTTTATGGTCCATTCCAACCCCTTAACATTTTATCATTCCATGAAGAATATTCTCTCTATTACAATTACATTTCAAGTGTAAAGTTTACATTTACAGGGACTTAATTATAAATAAACTCTTCACTGCAAGTACAAGATGTGGAGGGAGGTGTAAGAAAGATGATCACAAAAGTAGGAGTACAAAAGCAATTTACTGAAATTTAAAACTTAGTCAAAGTAGGTTGAACTCACTGGACTAATACAGCCTACATTGGATGCAATGAATATGTTCCCTATGGTGAGGAGTTTTGTTTGCCTTGTGTAGCTACACCATCAAACACTTTAGGTTCTAAATTTCAGAGGTTAATGGGTTATTGTTGCTGTATTACTACAGAATACCCAGGAAATATAAATACCTATAATTCAAAGAGCACTTTAAGTTATTTTATTAATACTGTTAACCTGTTTCTAGCCCAAATTCCATGCTTTTCTGTTCATGAAGAGACACAGGGATGTAAGAAAGCATGTCAACACTTTACAGTATATAGTTTCTGACTATACTGTAAAAATACTCTCTTCAGTGTACAGACAGGATTTTCTTTTCCATGTACAAACATTTCCTTTCTACCCGTTACTTCAACAAAATATGCCCAACAATGCCATGTAAGCATAGAAGGAATCTCATTAGAAAGAAAAAGAGGCACTCTCTCGTATGTGCTGAAGGTTAGAGCGCTATGACTCGGACTCCAATGGAATGACAAAAGCAAACAAAAGCACTAGGTTACCTCTGAACCATGTCTGAAACAGATGACAAAAAGCTGTCCATCCTCTTGGAAAACATCTCTGCTCCTTTCTTAAAGAAGGTGATCTGAAAAATACCAAGAAAAAGGGCACTGAAGGTTCTCTTGGCTTTGGCAGACAAGGAGCAGATTGTGGGAGTGTTAACAATGCTCCCATTATGACTGAACTTCTGGCAGGTGATCAAACACATGGGCAAAACAGCTGCATTGCCTTTCTTGCTACTTCCCACTTTTGCAACTCTACACCCTTTCACACACAGGTAAGCTGCTGGCTGCTGACAAGTACATTTCCAAAGAACTTGCTAAATGACTCAAATAAGGGAACAGGTAGCTTCTCCCACACTAGCACTGGGCAGGGCTGGGGCTCATGGTGTTAGGAACTGCTGTGTGCAATGCCACCCTATCGAAGGGTAATCATCCATTAGATTTTGCAGTCCAACCTGAACTACCAACTCCACGATGAAAGTTTTCAAAGTGCTGTAATAAAGTCAGTCAGGAAAGCGTAGCTGTACTTGTAGAAGCCTCCAGGGCAATTGGTTTTATCAACTACAGTTTTACCATTGGTTTTGTTCTACTGAAGGAGCTAAAAAAAAAAAAGCTACTAGGGCCAAAGTGCACATGATGTGACAGAAGATTAATTCTATTAGCTGGTATTGCTCAGCAGGCACACAATAAAGCAAAGCACTTGGTGTAGACTTGACCTTGTATTATCAATCATCATTAGAGCCTACTGGCAACTGCATGAAACATGGATACAGATAGGATGTGTGTGCAATTAATTAGGATAAACACAAAAATCAGTGATCTACTCTGGGAAGAGATGTAAAAGCAAATTCTTGGATGTTAAGCAATTTATTAGCTATTTCATCCACTTTTACTTGTGATTTCACCTTGGGACCTAGGATTCCCAAGATTCAGATTTCTGCAACCATGTTATAGACCACAGCCTCCCTTTACAAAGGAGAGAAAGAATGGCCTCCTAAAGAATGATTTACCTATTCTATTTCTGAAGCCTGCTTCAAGAGGAAAGAGCTCTAAAATCCACTGATGATAAATGCTGATGCCAGTTTTCAGTCCAAATGAACCCTCTATTAGCCACTGCTTCTTCCAAAATTTCCATTTCACCTACTCATTTGTTGGAAATGTGAAACTGGAGACACATGTTTGAGTAATTATTTAAGAAAATACATATTTGTACTGAAAGGCAGATCACAAAATTTAAGCATCAACTGGCTTCTGGTTATTCAGTCATTCCCATGACAACCCGAGACTTCCCCGTATAAAGCACTGAGATAAAGCGGTTTTGCCAGATGAAGTATGGGGAAAGTTCTGTTTGGTTTCCAGTAAAGGAAATCAATGCAGTTCTTTCACTTAGGATAATTACCGCAGAGAAGTGGTGTGAACTCCCATGGTGGGGAAAGTGACTGAATCCTCATTCACTACCTATTTTAAATGAGGCACATGGGCTGCAAAAGACAGGATGATGTAGATAATGATGAGCTACACTACAATGTCAAACAGAGCACCACATCCATTTTTCCTCTTTTCATAGCCCAGTTCTCATTTTCCAAACACTTCCTTTCATCAAAATCAAAGACCCTTAAAATGGGTGATAGTGAGAATCAAGTGCTGTGATAATACTGGTTTGTTGATCCCCCTGATATTCTGGAGGGTCAGACTGTCAGAGTTGAGAAATGCTCTATCAAATGGCTGTTAAAATAAAAATTAGAAAAAGGATTTGCCACTCTTATGCTCAATCCTCTCTACTATTCTGTCCTTCCAGCTCTCCAGAGCATGCTCTGTTCCTCATCATGCACACTCCTCATTAGTATGCTGAACATTATGTGCCAGGAAGGGAACTGCTACATAGGAGAGTTTGTGCAGACTGAGTAAACAGTGGAAGTAAATGCTACTGCATTTAGCTCAGCTGTGAAAAAACTAACCCTAGGCTGATTTTGCGTAGAAGTATATTGTATTTTCTTTCCATTAGTGTCTTTCCTGAATATCTAAACATTCAGCTATCTGCCACAAACAAAATCTGTTGTTAGAATCTAGGCAAGCTGAATGCAAATTGTTTCCGCACCACTCTTGTTATAATTTGTCAGGTCTCAAAATAAATCCAGAACTACAATGTTTTACCTTTCCCAGGAACATGTCTAAGTGATACAGACACTTTGCTGTCAATACCTGTCCTCGTGTATATCCTAGCATAGGTTCCATCATAGCCACTCTCTTCCTGTACTGCAGAGCATTCAAGGCACAGTAATATTGCAAGGATGAAAGATGCTGCTTTCTTCTTGCATTTGCCACTTCTTTTGCTACTTCTGCCTTAAGCTGAACAAAAAATGATAAAGAGGTTGACAAAGTGTTACTGTGTATATGGATATATTTGCTGATCATCTTCAAGTTATTTTTAAATCACTGTCTTTACAGAACTACTCCAGGTTAAAATGAAGGATGAGAAACAAAGAAAGCAAATCAAAAACTCAAAGCAAGTACTTCAAGCCTTTATCTGTCATGAAACTAAAGCATGTGGGGAGCCCCTGTGACTACAAACTATGTAACTACCGCCACTAAAAATCTGGATCAGATCTCTGTGCAAGAAATTTATTTGCAGCTGAGACCACAACACAAGTCTGCAAGTGCAGAATTCAGAGGTAAGTAATTCACAGTATGCTATATCACACTGTGATCTGTAAGGCATTTCCTTTCAAGAACCATCCTGTAGAACAGATTCACTCTCAGGACACGACCAGCCATACACTTTTTGACAAAGGGACATATTTTAGAATAGCGGTTCAGTGGGCAAAGAAGGAGGAATGTAGAACAGTCCTACCAAGAGAGTTATGCGCACTGTTAAGTGGAATGACAGAGTAATTAAACAGGAAGGTACATGCAAAGAAATGCAATGCTTTAGGACCAGCAGACACAAGGCTTCATGGCAGTTCACAATGAATTGTGCTCAGTGATACTGCATCACCACCTCAGCTGTACAACTCTAGGCCTATAGAAAGCTATTTATAGTCACTTGGATTGCCTCCATCTGAAAAGCTCCCATGGATCTGAAGGGCTCTAATTGAGCACAATATTTCACCACTTGCCTAACTTGGAGAAAACAGGTGTAAGTGCTGAGTTGATGTTTAAAAGCTTTGTGTCTGCTTGGAAACAAAATCACAAGTATTCTTGAGCTACTGTGAATTTAAGCAATGAACTCTCTGAAGTTCACAATGAACAAGGATGCAGACAGAATGGCTGATGAAAACATTTTATTTTTTCCCTTTCACATTTGTTACCTTTTCATTTTCTTTCCTTTTCGGTAACCTGCTATATTTTGCCATGGACACGTCATGTTCTGTAGACAAGGAATATTATTTTTTTTAGAAATGTGATGTGTATGTGTACAGATTCAACATGTCTTCTTTGCTCTAGCAGCTGCACATGAGTAGGAAAAAAACAGGGACACATACCATTGCTAGCAAGGCCAAAGAGATCCTTCAGTGTGCTTACTTCTGGAAAAGAGAAATGAAATATTCAAAGTAAAACCAGCTGTGAACACTTTGTTCAACTGAGACCATTTATGCCATATTTACTGCCCAAGTCACTCCAGCCCTTCCACAGCAGAGATGTATACATTGTGCCCGTCTTGAAAATGCTAAACCAGATCAGCTGCTAGAGAAATGAATAATTAAGGGTGGAGTAAGTTTATTTTATTGAGCAAGTTGTCACTCCAAGAAAGCTGCCTTATCTGCCAGTGTCTTTTGTCCAAAGAAGCACCATTTCAGTATGTTTATTCTGACTATAGGCCCACCACTATCACGCAAGATCAGCAGTTCTGAACAACTTGACAGTGCTTATGCGATACTGAGAAATTTAAGACCTACAGATGTATGAACTAAAGCCTTTTTCCTGTACATGAATCTCCCTCAGTGTGGAACATTTTTGCTAAGCTGCTCTGTGAAAGTAAATCTGTATCCAACACACCTGACTGCTGGTGTGATGCCTGCATTACAAATACTGGCCATGAGATTCTGATACAGGTAGAGAGAAGACAGACTGAACAGGCAATGTAACTTCACAAGTGTCAGGCACAAGCTACTCTTAGTATCCTCACCAACATATGCTGCAACTGGCAAAAACTCTCTCAAAAAGCTACAAAGAAAGCACATTTACAAGAACACACATTATGCAACTGTGAAAATACCAAGGGGAAATTGTAGGATGTCATCATGGTCTCTGACCTTTATTTTTAACATCCTACTCATTAATCCGTTTCACTCCACCTTTTTTCCCAGAATGCTTCATTATGACTCAGATGAAGAAAAGACAGAAGATTTCTCCACTTGTAACTAACTTGTATTTAGAGGTTTCTACAATATTCAATATAGATGTAACAAGATGAAGAGTAAAAACAATAACACAGTTATTCTTCCTTGCTTCCTTGTTTAATCCCTCTAAGAAATTCCAATGCGGTCAGGTCTCTACTAAAAATGCTGTTCTACAGACTGCATCACAAAAAGTGGATAGAATTAAAAAAAAAAATTGACATCCAAGAAGTTGAAGAAACTTTTGGTTTTTGTCATGCAGCAGCTGAAGCTGTGGTTGCAGGCTTCATATGTGTTTTCATATATTTTTTAATGAACAAGAGAGAAGAATCCATAAATATGGAAAAAAAATTACTATCTCTGAGGCCACATGAAAGAGGTGAGGAAGTGTTTATCCCATCAACATCTTACCATCCAAATTCTCCTTTATATTTGACAGTATATGATAAACAATGTATTGTTAACATAGACACCTAGATGTCCTCACAATTTCCAATCAGATCCTATAAGGAACTTAAATCAGTCAATGTTGTGCTGTAGTCATTTTATCTCACACCAAAATGATGTCTACAAGAAGGACATAAGTGGGACTGCAAAAGTGAAATGAGCAGTGGCTTTAAGGACAGAAAGACTGACCCAAAAACCGACATGCTGCTGCAAAAAGTCACATTTCTGTTACATAAGTAAGACTGTCCCTGACCTTGAATATGAGTTTTTTTCTTCTGTAATTACATAAAATGTTTGTGTTACTGCCTTGCTGTTTAAGTAATGAAATCCCAAATTTGTGAAATCAGGTAACTTGCATGGAACTACCCTTGCATGGCAAGAATTTAAAGAGGACAGATTCCTTAAAAAGGAGGGAATATACTATCCTCTGAAGTTAAAATAACATTCTTGCTTGTGCTTGTCAAACAGCCCCAAACTTCTGAAGTGGAATAAATACTGTTTGCAAGCCCAATTCACTGCTAAATTTCCCTTCTGGCAATTACAACATCAGTGACTTCAGTAAAATTACACTAGTATAAAAACACAGTGACCCAACAAAGAACAAAGCTGTGTATTTTTAAACTTGCACCATATGGTACATAAAATGTTACGTGGTGAACTTGAACTGGTTTTGTCTGAGTAAAAGCATGCACCTGCCAATGAAATTCTGCAACAGGAAAAAAAACTCAAACTTTTCTGTGAGTCAAAAAACAAATTAATACATGGCATTATGTCTCAGTTTGTGATGAAATAAACAAGAAGGAGCATATAAGGGAAATTGAAACTTAGAATAAAATTTACCTGTGAGATCTTTTTCTCGAAATTGTATTATTGGGAGAACCATTGTATCTGCAAGCTGTTTTGCCAGTTCAGAATGAAGAATATTGAGCTGAAACAGAGACTTGTTCTGAGACACAATGTACATAAAAAACCCAAACCACAGAGAACATCAAAACACACCAGCCATTTGTGTCCAGTGGATATAATGTACTTCAGTGCTTGAAATACACTTCTCATGGTATCTAAGACAGATGGGGATGCTCTCCCTAAATGCTTCATTCCTGCCTGGTATTTCCCAAGGATCCAAGAACTTCTCAGTTCCCACGTAATGGATTAGGGCAATTCACTTGACAATTAATTCTAATGCTTAACCCAACAGGATTTAAACTATAATTATCCTTTATTAACCTGTTTTAGTTAAGTCTCAATGCCATGGAGTTACAGTCCCACCACCACAACTACAGTGTCTTTCCAGGAACAAGGACTAACAAGGACACAATCACAACAGGGGGCAACTGCAATGAAAGATCCCATTCAAGTATTTTACCTTCATAGCAGTTCCCCATTCCTGTTTTTGTGTTTCTAAACTTCAGCAAACAACTGTTTTAAAGCACCCATGTGGCACCATTTAGGATGAAGGCAAGCAAGGCTCTCATGTCAATACTGGCCTGCTAAGAATATGAGATGGGAGCAGGTAGGACAGCTATCAATCACGCTGCTGGAGCACCAGGAGGGTACCGCACATTGCGGTGACATCCTGCTTGTTTGCTCAGTGTCCTGGATACCTCCAGGCAGCCTCATGCAGGTAAGGATGAACTGAGGATCTCCCATGAGACAATACAATTCAATGCTGATAGAACAGACAACTAAAACAGGCACAAGGGGAAGCTAACACACAGAAAAGGAGGCCAAGGAATGGAACAAGTTCTCATGAGGGAAAATGTGACTGACAGAACTGAGCAGCAACTTTCAGCTTTCTGCCCCCAAATGGCACCATTCTCTTGAACCTGGGAAGGAGAAACTTCTTGTTTTTAACTATTTGGAGGCACATAAGCAATTCCAAGACTTGTGATAACAAATGCTCCTTTCAAGCATCCTGAGAACACACATGCAACAAGAAAAGCCTAAAAAAAATAAACCTTTGGGATTCCTCTCAATACATCCCCAGTTATTCATGGGCTCTAAAATTTTTAACTTACTTTTTGTCCCACAAACTTCTCTCCTCTCCCAAACAGCAGACCTCAGTACAGCCTTTTGCCTTCTTAATCAAAGTTGGAAGTAGACCAACAAGAACAGACTTTTCTGATGGCACAGCACTGCTCACAGCAGAGAGAGTGATTTGACGAAACCTAAGCAAGAAGGACCTAGATACCAAAGCAAGAAGGACCTAGATACCAAGACCATATTGAAATGTTACATGGGCAGGTCTAACAAAAGCATTTACAAACACTTCCAGTACTTAACAGAAACCTCCATGGCATGGGAGTATTCACTGCACACAGATTCACTGTCTTCACCTCACAGTACTGCAGCCTTCCCCAGACATCTCTGGATTCTGCATGATCTCATAGCAACTAAACTGCAACTTTACCAATTCACAGCTGCCCTGCATCCATACCTAGCAAGTTTTGGTTCAAACTGCAGTGTTTAAAGCTTAGAAATGTGTCATTTTAATATGGAATTATATAAAAGATTGCCCTAACCTATATGGCACATCCTGTTTTAGTCTCTCTTTAAGTTCCCCTAGGAAATTCAGCCTTGCTCTGAGGATAGAATATGGGAAGAAGCCACAGAAACAGCTCTAACCATTATGGAAGGGTAGTATCAAACATCTTTATCCAAAATTAAACTACTCTAAATCTAGCCTTCAGTGGGAAGGCTCTGAATCAAAAGGAGAGACCCAAAGAAAAACCACTAATATTCTGTATTGTATAAAGAGAATATTAGCAAATCAAATTACCTCATCCACAACTTTTGAAAAATAATGGAGGGTGGATATCACTTCTTCATCTCCTTTACCTAAGGCAAAATGCTGGAAATAGAAAAACACATTTGGTCCATAACTTAATAAAGATGAATATAAAATACACCACTTGTTTTACTGCAAATCTAATGAATATTTCTACAAAATGCAACAAATACTAAAAATAAATGTAAAAACAGAAGCTCATTAATATACATCATTTTACCCTGCTCTTCTTGTGTTAAATGAATGAATTTTGGACAACACTTAGTTCTTATTATACCCATTTTAAACTCATAGAACTGGAACAAACTGACTTGTATCTTCATAAATTTATTAACTTGGATTTTGTACCTTTTTGGGTTTTTTCTAATCCAGTTCTTTTCTTAAGATTCTCAGAAACGACCCAACTCCCTTGAACATCCTGGGGAAATTCACAACTGCCTTCACATGATACCAAGTAAAGCAAATGCCCTGAGCGCTTCCAGAAAACACAGTTTACAGACTTCTTCACAAGTGCCGAGGCAGAAAAGAAATCAAAGTCATGTGCTGAACATACCTGCTTTTCATAAGCAAGGAGCTGCTTCGAAAGCTGTTGTGTGGCAAGACACATTTCATTCTACAAACAAAAATGACATGTTAATAGAAATAATGAAAGGTCCCCAGTGCTGCTGTTACCACTACTTTGTTAGGAGTTTCTTGACTGAATCTGAAACTACTTACACCATCATTCAGCTGTGTGCAAACAGCTAGTCCCAAAATACCTGCACAGATGTCCTGCTTTCAGTTAGGATAGAGTTAATTTCTTGTCAGCAGCAGTTACAGTGCTGTGTTTTGGATTCAGATTAAGAATAGTGCAGAAAACACACTTGGTGTTTTGGATTTTTGTGAAGTTGTGTTCATCCTAAGTAAAGGATTTTTTTTCCTTGTCCCACACTTGGCCAGTGAGAGGGCATGCAAAAGAAACTGGGAGGAAGTACAGCTGGGCAAGACAACCCAAAAGGACCAAAGGGATAGTCCACACCATGGAACATCATGCTCAGTAAATAAACTGGGGCAAGTACCCTAAAGGGAGGTCAGTCTGGGTTCAGGAAGGGAGCTCTGGCATCAGTTAGTGGGAGGTGAACAGCTGCAATGTGCATCATGATTTTTTTTTCCCTTTTTATTATCATTATTATTAACCATCATTATTGTATTTTACTTTATTTTCAATTATTAAACTTCCTTTATCTCAAAATACAAGTTTTACTTTGATTCTCCTCCATATTCCACTGGGGTGAGGCAAACAGAAATGGGGTTGAGCAAGCCCCACAAATGGACTGGTAGAATTTCCAGCTGGGCTTAAACCCTGACAGCAGAGAACCAGCAGTAAGAGGGACATACTTCAGATCTACAGTTTAACTACTTTGAATAGAGCTAATGTTTGGGGGTTTGGTTTCAGGCTTGGGTTTCCCCCATCACAAGAATATATCAAAACTAGAACAACATCAAAGACGTAGGCTGCCATTACCAGCATAAGAATGTTTCCTACTGGTTAATCATCTCTCCCCAAAACCTACATCAATAAAGTGAAACAAAAGGTGCGCCTCACAGTGCATTCACACTCAGGGAACGTACCAATGTAATTACAGCACTTTAAGAGGCTACAAGAGCACAAACCAGCACATATGTCTTTTCCTGAAAATACACACACACTTAAGATGTGCTTACATCAGGTAAGATTTGTAGGGAAGTTGTATAATTTTACTTGACAGCTGGAAAAACCAGACAAGCACCTGGATTTGTCAATCTTTAATCAATGTATTCCTAACACTAGCGTATCAAGTGCTCTGTCCCTGATTTGTTAACAAGGACTTACAAACAAGAATAAAAGAAAAAAGGGAAGGGGGTAACTGACACCCATCTTAATCCCTATCAGATCCTTCTCGTCCTCAGAAAGGCAGAGAACTAGTAACTCTAAATTTAATTTTAAACCTTAACAAACTATTCCTGTCTCGAAATATATAAGGCCATAGAGAGTTTGTAAAACTAGGAACAGATCCCTGAACTGCTTTAATAGAGCCCTTTTGACTAGGGCTGATACAGAAAACCATTAAAACTGGGACAGAACTTGTGTGCTCTCTTATTGTACCTTATCATCCTGAGCAAGCAGAGCCCAGCACAGTGAACTATCTGGGCCAGAGACCCTGAAACACCCTTTGCTTTGGCCTGCTGCCACCTATGACATACTGCATTATAGCCTAGTACTTCTGCTCCACCTCAGCACACCAGGAACAGGGGTTCACGGGGCAGCAGGGCCCAACATTCAGTCAGTCTTAAAGTGTGCTCAAGTGCTCATTGGAAAAATAAAAAAAGCAAAACCAAACCAGCCACAGCCTAGGTAAGCAGCTGCATATGAACACAGGACAGGAAAAGCTGAACGAGGTAATTTTGACCATCTTAAAACAGCATGGTGATAACACTCCCAGGCAGGAGAAGATGGCACAGCAGAGACTTCCAAGGTATCAACATGTTGTCATCTTATTGCAGAGGTTCCATACAGCTGTCTCCTTATTGCAAAAGTTTCACACCTTCTTGGTGTTTCTCGTGAACAGCTCCTCAGAGTAGGGACTCTTCCTCACAAAGCAGCCAACTGACTCTAGTTCCCTTCTCAACCAGCCACCCCACTCTTTTATAGCACTCTTCTTCTCATTGGTTACAGCTGTGGCCTGTTAAAGTCAGGCCTGTTCCTAATCTTTGATAATTGGCCCAGCTGCAACTCCTTAGGGGTAAGATTACTTTCTTCATTATCTTTATTTTCTTATATTCTATCCCCCTACATCAACAGTAGTTCAAAGAGATAATGTGGGCCCATGCTCAGGTCATGCACATCCCATGACTATTCTCACTTCACAGTGATGGATTAGTCTTATTTCTTTTTTCAGCCCAATTAGTAATAAGCACACTTTCAGACAACAATAATGCCAATGGTTCCTCTAAGATTTGCGGGAGTTTTTACAGATTACATAGTTTTTACAATGAAAAAGCTTTATACAAACACTTGGTATTTAAGTATTTCCCAAGCTAGAGGATGGAAAAGGATGTTCTGCCTTATAATAAAAAACAAACCCTGTTAAGGGCTCAGACCTGGATAGGAATGAGCCTTAATTATCTGTCCCCAAGCAGTAAGAATACCAGAGAGACTTTGCCACCTTCCAAGTAGGAGCTAGCAAGCAATGAATTTATGACAGGGAGGACAGGACTCCCTGCAAGTATACAGAAGCCATTAAAAGGGTTTGTTTGTGTGCATGTGGGAGGAAATTCACATTACAAAAAACAATCAGAAGTTCGCAGACCTGGCATCTTTTTCATAAACATAATCTCAATGACAGTCTTCTTGCAGTTCCTACCCAGCTCTAAGTCCTCACACGGCAACTGTGATGCCACCTGTAAGTTGTACAACTGGATCAGGGTGAGAGAAATCTTTTGAAATAAACCAAGTATCAGAAACATACCTCTTTTTGCCATTTCTTTCAATTTACTTATTCCTGCAAAGTCTGCAGTTTTGTGATCTGCTCTGAATCTGGAAAAGACATGCTTCTGGCCTAAATTTGCTAACATTAACAGAAACTTCAGAATAATGGGCTGATACAAACAAATAAAATCCCCAACCCCAAAAAACCCTGGCCAAAGACATCCTGTTCTTTTGTGTTCACCATTCACAAAGCTTCTACCAGTTTGGTTTTTAGACTCAATCCTCAATTTCCTCACTTAATATTCAAAGGGCATCACTACTCATCTGTGTGGGGCAGTTTGAAGATGGGCAGTGTAAAGAGGTGTGTGGAGTAAGCATCTTCCAGGGATCACCACTCCCAAGGAGTGATCTCCAGTATGTGACAGGATAATGGGAGAACACAGAAACTCTGAGGATCTCAAAGGGGTGTAAATAAACAACACCTTACCAAGTACACAACCAGGTGACAACAGTTAATTGCAGACCCCATGCAGATATTCATAGCCTACTACTCCAGATACAGAACAAATTGAGAGGCGTGCCTGACACAAAACTTACTTTGGGATTTTAGGCTGATCTGAGGAAAACAGTTCCATGTATTACTCACAACTCACTGCTGCCAGCTGGTCACATTCTTCATTTATTGGCTCAGTTCTTTGTGTCAGAGGACCACAAACTTGTTACTCAATCCCTACCCATGTGGAAAAATTAATCCTGGGTCCTTCATCCTCCCTCCTAACACCTGCCAGACTTAGTTCCCATTAGAGGTACAAAATCACTCATTGTATCATTTGGGGAAAAAAACCCAAACAAAAATCAAAACAAAACAGGCACATGCCCAAAAACTGTAAACAAATCAAATTAAGCTAGCAAGCTGAAACACACTCCATTGCATAAGGAACAAGAAGCAAGCAAAATGCTCTGCTGACCTAGTGGTAATACTGCATTGCTAAGCACACTAATCTGGGAAAGTTTAATCCTCCTCCCATTTCTTCCTAATCAGCCTTTTCCCCTCCCCCTACCCTGCTGCCATTCAGTTTCAAGACTTAGAAGTTATTTGCATTGCTTCTGTTGATAGATCCACTAAATCCAGGCAAATTATTTTAACAGGTCTTAATCTATTTCCAAGGCATTTTCCCATGGATACAGCAACATTGATTTCCTTTGTCCTGAAGTGACTGCAATGCAATACACCCTGCAAAAGAAAAACTACAATACATTCCTGATTCCACATCTCTTCCATATTATCTTGACTTTTCAGAATTCATCCCATATTTATGGAGTAGGACAGCTATCAATGAGATGATATATCACGCAAAAACTCAAAAAAAAAAAATCCTGAACAGAAATTGAAGCCTTCTAAAATGAAGGCAAACGTAACCAGTACTGGGCCTTGCAAATAAATTCATTTGCGCTAGATGGTTTTGCTTAACAGGTAAGACATCTCTGCAGCATTAATGTAAAAAAAGTGTAGCAGAAGGAATAAAAAAACATACATAAGTAAGTATAATTAAATCAGTAGTGATTACAGATGTGCTGACTTTTTTTCCCCCTTTTCTCTAAACCTGGCTTGCATGATAGCCCTAGGAATAAATTTCTGTAAGTCCAGTTTAAATGGATAAGGTAATGGAAGCAGGTCTTGATTCTAGCATTAATCTACCAGAAACGAAAAACAGCTGGTTTAAAAAATATTGTTTAATTTTCAAGTTACTTCAGTACCTGACCCAGCCTTCAAATAAGCCAGTGGGAAAAAAAGTCTGTCTTACTTTCTAGCTAGTGCCCAGAGTAAAGACATCTGGTTGATTCCACCTTCTTCATTATCACTTGTATTCACTAAGCTGTTCATATCATCAGAAGAGACTGATTTTTCTCTAACCTCTGTAATAAAATATCCATGCCATTTACAATTTCCCAGTGAGGCAGTCCATCCATTTTTAGGATCTCTGTATTTTTCCAAAATAAACTCTGAGGACTAATCTGCTGAAATCCAAAGATATTTCTCTAGACAGTTGTCTAACAGACTACAGATTTGAAGGCATGTAAAGGATTAAGTCGAGCTATAAATTAACTTCTAAAGACACAGAACTATTCCAGCACACCCAGTTCCAAGAAGCTTCCTGCAAAGCAACTTTCCTATTCCAGCTACAGTTGGCATTTTTTAAACTACAAGTAACTATAACACAGAACTGCCAAAGGCTGCTTCATATAAACAAACATATT